TACAGAAAAAGAGGAAAGCGAGAGCATTTGATTAGGATTCACTTACAGGGAACTGGACAACAATGCGGACAGACATTAGATTACGACAAGGTGGGTTTCGAGAAATATGGAGTCCTAGGTTTAAGCAGTAGTGAGTAGTATCAAACAGTACAGAATACCGCGCCAAAAACTGTGAAACGCTCCCTGTTAAGGAAATACTGAGACAAGGAATTAATAGGCAAATTGTTACCAGGATTTTGAAACTATTTTTAAAATAATATTTGAAGATAAAAGAATAACGACATTTGCAAAACGATGTAAGGTTGTATGATGACTCGATTGGAAATAAGGATGCCAAAAAGCAGTGGTGAACAGTGACAAAAGGGACAACGAACGAGTAATGATCCGTAATACCTCACTACTGGGAGGGATTATTAGAAAGATACATTAAGCATTTAAGAAAAATACCAAACTGATCATGAATAAGCACGCACAAATTATGCTGATATAGTGGGAAAGCAATTAATGTAATAATCAGGCGTGAAGCAGAGAGAAAAAACAAGTGATTAAGAGCCGTACAGACGATGAGCGACTGAGTCGTAAGAATTAATACAACATTTGCAAGAAGGCTACTCTTTGTAAATTTATATGACAGGCGACAAGTGAAAGATCAGGGAATATTTCCAAGCAGACGAATGTTAAGGGCACGAGTATATAGAGCACCTACAATGCTGCATTCTGAAACTGAACCCGGGAGCTTATCTGCATGGTAGAAGCTCAGTTTTACCGAGCAAAAACTGCTGAAATTAGTGCCCTCGCAAACCAAATGGATATCCAACTATGATGATGGATGAAAGTCACTGAATGAACAAATTAAAAAATCCATGATCAAACAAATCGCAAAGGAGCAACTAAATTAATTAATTAATACCTAAATAAGCGAACACCCTACAAAAATTTGGTAAGATACGTTATCAAACTGATTTGCAATAATGCTAGCAAAAATAGGCAATGTGCGTCATTCTCATCTAACTACTTCTAAAAAAAGCTAATCAACTAGGCTAAGGCAATGGTAATGAAACATCACAGGCATCACAATACATGAATTCAAAACCGCACTAATTCGTGAGCAGAATAACTACCTGCTCGATGCACCGAATCATCTAATTCAACCGCTTTTCATTCATAGATATAAATAGCATTACTCACCAAAATCCGGTCTGCTCATCGGTAGGGCGTCTGATTCATAACCGAGGTTCAGAACTCAAGCCTCAGTTGGGTTTTTGTTCCTTCTTTTCGAGACTGATAAATGAGTATCTACCATACGTAGGAAACAGTAGACTATCCGCAACGCCCATGCGGTCATCAATCTGAGATATATGTTCAAAAAATAAGGCATTTCCCGCCGTTGGCACCGAAATGGTTAGCGCTGTAGCATAATCTTCATGAAAAGAAAGATGCCACAAAGAGCACAAAATCAGCAAAGTGTAGGGGAGAGCGATATTTCAATGGTGACAAAGTTAAATTTGCCTTTACTTAGTCAACATAAAGAATGAATGAACAAATGAAAGCAGCTCTGGCTAAACAGTAACTACGAAAGGAGATTTGATAAGCAGGAAGCTATCCTCTGAACTAAATATATTGTAAAAAATATGGCGATGTTCCGTTTGTGCTGAATGATATAGCCATGCTTCGTATGTTCAAGCAATAATATACATTCATTCATTTATTTAAAAATCAGAAATCAGAAAATCAGCTGAAATCCTTCCTGCAACAGGCTCCAATAATCTGTTTGTCCGCGGGTTGTTGGTGATTAACCAGAAATTTAATTCAAGATCGATTAATCACACAATAATTCAAAGAAATTTGAGGTCGTGAGATACGAGAATAATGATGGAAAAGCTCTTACTGGAACTAATTTAACAAATCAAAATCCTGCTTGGATGGGACCAACTTTCGGCCGGAGTTTCCAGCCTTCATTATCTAAGCAACCGAAGATAGAGTAACTCGTTCGTGCACTAGTAGCCATACTGAAAAATAGCGTCAAAACCGGCTAATTTATACACAACGCAAAAGATGCTGTGATCAGTCGGGTAGTCGACGAATACCACTGATGCCAATACCACAGTACTGATCTACAGTATCTTTTGTATTGTGCATTAATAAAGTTTTATGCCATTTTTTAATAATCCAAGCAATGGACTAATCACTCATTAACATGAACTAACTTAATGGGGATTTAAAAAATCACTTCGTTGAACTGAATAACGATCGCCTGCAGAATATGCAAATTAGCCAATAAATCATTACATCGGTGAACTTACATCAGCTTCCGACTTGCGAACAAAATCTGGATGAGTTTGTTCGATCAAACAATCGACGAAACTAGTCTAAACGAAAACAACTTGAACCAAGAACAAATACGATTAAAGCGTCAACCTTTCCGTGATGCAGATGACCAGCTAATGCGACATTCCTTACCAACAGAGGGCAATCCATTAGATCAGCGAGATATTCTTTTTCATAGACAGTGTTGGGAAGGTCTTGTTCAACGGCCTGAAATAAAAGAATCTGATATACCTGAAAATCTTTCAAGAAAAGCAGAAAAGCACTTGAAATTTTTTCTGCCTAATCGGTTTGATGATTGGTTCCGTTAGTGGTTGTGTGTCTTCTTCCTGGACAACCGTCTCAACGTCAGGGCCATACAGTTCCTTTGCCGTTGGATAGTATTTTTTGTCTTCATGCAAAACAACCGCTTGTTCAGAATTTACTTCTAAAACTGCGCCTTCGGTCTCCATAGACTCTTCCTGAAATCACAAGTCACCGTAAAAGGTGAATCCGCACAAACTGCTTCTGTTACTTGATCTATTTCGACCACTTCTTCAGGTTTCGCTGAAGCATCATATTGTTCTTCTTCTTCTTCCTCATCGCTTTCGATTTCTGGCCCGATATAATTGCCAAACTCGTCGTACAATTCAGTATCCATCTCTGTATTATGCAACTAAATAATGCACACACTAATATTCATGATTATACTTGAAAAAGTCGAATGACGTGAACGTTCTCTTATTTAAAGGCCTATACCCTGTCTTTCAGTCAGTTATTAAAGTATTTAAGGAGAAAATATGTAGTCACGAAGCACCAAAGAGAAGACATCCCACGGCATGACTAAATTAGATCATCAACCGGTCCCTTTTATTCGAAGGGCTTGGAGTTGCAATCCCTTTCTCGACCGCACCGAAGTCGCGCGAGTTCCTTTCTTGAGTGAATTAATTAACATGAAAATTTCATTACGTGCGTGAGAAATGGCACCGGTACCCCTAGATGGCCCATTCCTACTGTGTCACTGCTCCATTCATGAAAGAAATGAACTGTCGATATCGCCTACAAGTGCACATTAATCCCTATTCATATCCTGTCAATAAGTGATCAAATAGTTGACGGATTCCTCCTATGAACAGTGGTTTCCCTTATCTAACAAAATATGGCTTTGTCACAAACAGACAAGACGGTCACTTCTACTGAATTCAGTCCTTGGCTTTGGATAAGTTTTTAATTCTTTCCATACTTTCTTGACCCTTCAGTGTTGTTGGTGTATACAGAAATAAATCTGGAAGAATATAAATTATCCAACAGATTGAAGTTGGTTAACTATTCTTGTTGTCTTCGTCAATTACGCGAACAAAATAGAAGTACAGAACAGAAGAGAAACCTAGATGCCTGACGTCTGTAAGGCGCATAAGATAAACCGCATTAAAAGCACGTCCTTAGTTGTGCTTTTGACCAATAGCAAGAAACAGAAGTTCAGTCGAAACCAAGAACAAGGAAAACCACATTATACCTTGACGCAGCAGCAACTGAGCACAATCGAGACTTTGTTTACCGTTTCTGCACGATAAACCTTTAGTTTCCTTATCAACTGTACATGTTGTTTTAATATTGTTAGGCATTTATCAATCAGACTGCAAACAACTCTCTAATTCTGGCTATGTAAGTAACCATTATCAGTACTGATGAAAGTAACAAGTATTAAAGTAATATAAGAATACACGCTTCCTAAGTGATTTGCGTTAAACCAGCAGCTTCAGCGGAACTGAAACACTTCTGAGAAATTTCGATGGATAATTGGGTAACATCTGACAAATATCTGGCGAAAGATTGAGAAATGTTATTAATGAATATACTGACATATTTACTGAGCAATATCACATTCTAAATTTCACTTTCTAGAACAACGATGATGCTAAAACAACGAATATAATGGTGCTTTATTTAGAAAAACTGAATGATAAACTTCAGTAGAATTTTTCATAGTTCACATTTGCAAACAAGACATAATTTTGTTGAAATATTCAACGAATACCCGCTGCGGCACACAAGCATTTTTCACCGTATACAATTAACCTTTTGATCAGTTATGAAAGACAATATTCTGTGTGCGGTAACGTACCAAAAGCTTGCTGAATCTGTAGGAAGGGTTATTAATTGAGAACTCATAGCCAACAGAATATGAGCAACAAAAGTTTTAAATTACCAAGGCAACAGCTGCAGTAAATAAAGGTAATATTATTATAAAATCTTTGATAATGTTTAATGGAATTAGTTATCAGTGTAACGGCAGTGTTGCTAGAGTATAGTGATGAGTTTGCAACGAGAAATGCACTCGAGTTTAATAAGTGTGCGTTTTTTTACTTAAATCTTGTAATTCCTTTATCACTAACATTCAAAAAATTTGCTAATAACAACTACCTCTCTGGAACAGAATTCATTTAGAAATGGTAGGGCAACTAGCCTAGATTTGACTCTGGGATATATCCCGCTACCTTGAGATTTGTGATAGTTGCGAATGTTGTATAAGTGATTAAGTACTCCATGAATCTGCACTAAGCTATTTAGATAATTAAGTGAAAAAAGTTTTTAAGATAAATTATTATTTGGAAAATAATAATAATCTAAAACGAGTGCATGGAACCCTTTGAAAACCTCACTTACAGCACATCTGCTGTTTAAAAGTGCCTTTCCTCTGCAGTGGAAAACCATCTTCTTCAATTAACATGCAACCTTTTAGCTGCATTATGATCTACCATGCAGAAGTATGTGCCACTCTACCATTGTCCCATTGGCTAACGTTTGCCCGCGCTCCTTGACGAACCATAGAGCATCTGAACCCCAGGTACGATTTTAGATTACGTTTATTCACGATCCATGTCTCGCTTCCTGTAGGACTGCTAAGGGAATTGGCTAGAAGCTCTTAAGTGACCGTTCGAAAATACTGCAGCTTATGCATTCGATAAGAAATCTACCCGCTGATACTGATTCGTATATCTGTGGCATGTTCTGTAATTATGTTCCTTCTTACGCCATACCAAAATATTTAACCTCTTACCATTTCATCTGAATCCAATCATTCATAGAAGTACAACACTATTGCTACCATCGGTTTGCCTTTGATAATATATGGCCTTCAAACGTGTTTAACGAATCATATCGGTAGAAAAGTTGTTCATCGTTGTTTTGCAAGTGCAAAATTTATCCACTGCAATCTGTGAGTGAATCTAGCTGATCCTCATAACGAGGTTTACATGTTTCGTGATGGCATTGTACACAGCCCTTCCTACTGCTGAACTGCAAGAGAACTTCTCGTTCCACCAGTCTGCTGTCATGTCAGAAAAAATGCTGGAACTCAGTTTTAGAATCAATGGATGATAAAACTCACCACAGTTTGCAACTTTCCAAATTAAATATATGATTTATCGGTTTTGTTATCAAGTCGATTATTCAGTGTTGGATATCAACAACATACATTCATAACGCCAAAACTGTCTTTACTGAAAGAAAAATGAAAGCACTATTAATAATTCAGTTTGCATGCTGTCCACCTTGAAGAAGAGGTAACAACGCCCATGCGGAATTCTACAGATCGCACTAATAAGTTATATGTGCAAGATGGAAAGACACCGTCATGCCAAGACCAACCAAAGCAAAAACAGCAATGCCACCCACATGAACAATCGCGAAAGGAACTGTTCTTCATCGTGTTGTCGAGTGCCAGGGGATGCTGAAAGAGAAAACATTAACAAGACAAGTTCAACCATGAAAAAGACATTCATGATTTAAGATTTTATTGCCTATTAAATCTAACAATTGAACCTGCACGCTAGTGAAAAGATAAAATATCACAGAAAAGAACCTAAGACTTCCCAAATTTCAAAAAGAAATCGTACATCTGTACGTGATAAAAATACGGGCATTCACTAGGGGAGAGGGAGTCGAGCAAAACCAGTACATTCGAATTACCAGATTTTCAAGGGAAAGGGAAACGGAATACGAATTATAACAAATCCTGAGTAATCCGTTCTGACACGAGTATCGCAGAACTTTCGTAATTTCCTGAGTGAATACACCGTAACATAAATCGATCTCATCACAGAACTTCCCACCCTTTACACAAATTTTACATTTACAGGGGAATAATGCTACCTAAAGTACTGTTGGCTAGTCAACGCAAATCTGACTGTTACACTTAACATATGAAGGGTAATGCTCGCCAATCGCCTACAGCTCATTTCTGTTAGTACTTTGAAGAACTGCATCCAGCCCTGAATATGAATGCCAAAGAATTACCCTATGGCGTATCAGCAGAGGGAGAAAGAATACCTGTTTGGCTAAATGACAGAACTGCTACTTCGACACCTGTAGCGACCTTAGGCAACTCGTCGTTCAGCTTTATATTGCATTTTGGGTATCACAGCAAGTCACACAACTTTCCTGTTCTTTGAAAGATATCACTGAAAGCATCCAGTTTTGAAGAAAAAAGGCAGAATAAAACCTAAGAAGCGCTGGTGTACAAGGGGAAGAATATATGCTATGGAAATGCCATTTTAGCCTGATGTACTAAGAACCCTTATTTCTTTATAAAGTTTCGATTATACAACATACTATTCTGTTTATTTTTATACCACGCAGCAGTTGCTGTCATTTTGAAGAATCGCCTCAAAAATTGCTCCAACCATTTTAACTGAATATATTCACAGAATTAAGGCATAACAAATCTGTGCTAATTAGATACATACTTTACTACAGCAGTTACAGGTTTCAGTGAAAGCAACTGTTAAACTTGGTCCTTAATGGGCAAGTAGCTCAGAAAATTTAAAATTACAAACGAACTTACGAGCCGACGGTCTCTGCTCTCCAAAATTAAGGGTGGACGCAAAAAATGTAAACGGAAATGCACCGATTCCAAACGAAAACTGAAAACCGGTATCTGGTCCATTTCCCAAGTTGAAGTCTGTAAAGGCCTAAATAAAAAAACTATTTCTATGCAAAATAATAAAAGACAAAAAAATTAACTAAAAATAATTACGAATGGAATAGCAGTAAAAATGAAATTCTCAGGTGGCTACTTTGAGAAAATTTCATTTATATGCAGAGGATGAATTTTAACATCTCTCTAATTTAACGAAATGATCCCACTGAAAATATAGGAGACTCGTCTTACCCAGCAAGTCTGTCTAATGAACATTTTAGGGGTGTGTTTGTATCAGAGTTACTAATTGCAAGGTGCTGTTATTAACGAAATTACTATACGACGTGCATGTGCTGCAGGAGCGACCGACTTCGCGGTGAGACGAAGCAGTGAGCACAAACATAACATCCTTGGCTAATCGGATTCAGATATAGAAACTCAACCGCTAAACTTATCACCCGATACCGAATATGGAATCATATCTTTCAGGCAGGCCTGCAAATACCTAAAACGATCACTTAATTCGGTTCGTTGCCTTATAATCATGCTAGTATATAATCATGTCTCAAATGACGGCAAGCATATAGACCAGCTCAACACTGGCCATACTATCTAAGGATACCTCTAGGATAATGCAAATATGCCTCAATTTAAACCCACTAACAAATGTCAAAAGATGATCGATCAGTTTCATGTCTGTCTCCAACGTATGCAAACAAAATAAAAGATCGACTTACGGTGCCTGAAGGTTCTGTCCGTTGTCCCTGAGGCCGCGGCGGGACTTTCTCCCTCGGATCTTTGTTGTCACCACCTCGCCCGTATAGAGGAATGACCTTGTCTTTTCCTATAGCAGACTTGCACACTGGACAAAGTTGTTTTTTAGGCCTCGTCTCGAGCCACTGATGTAAACACGGCCAGCTGGAACAACAACATCTTACACAATGCAGCAGCTGTGTGAGTAATGACGCCATCGTCACACTTACCAGAACAAGTGCCCGCACATGCTGATTACTGCATCCTGCGCCGTATCCAAGCAGATGTTGCATTCGTACATGGATGGGTCAGAATGAGGCTTTTCACTATTGGAAGAAGACGGTTCCCTTTCGGACTGCTGGTCATGCTGCTGCGTCGACGGCGGTGCTTCAGTGGAATTCTGGGCAGAAGCCGTGCCTTCCATGTTTTTGGCAACTAGACGAGACTAAAGCAGTAAGTCAGAAACAGATCCAGAAATTGCAGGTTTGATGGAGATAAGAAGCCTCCACTGATTATGTTCTAGATTCAGACCATGTTCTGCCGAAGCTCAGACACCGGCGTTGCATTGTGAATGCTGGAGATAGACTGATGCTGTTGCCTCCGTGTTCCGAAAGGTTAAGCGGCTATCGAAATTGACTGGCTGAGTTAAGGAGTCTGTGCGAATTACCTCTGACAAACATGTCATCCTCAGGGAAGGATAAACAAAACCTGAACAGAAAATCTAGAGATAACACATTTTTATCTGACTGATATGGTATCTCAGATTTACCTTAATGAGTACCAGCAAAGTACTGCTGAAGCAAGAACTTAGCCTATACTACCCAGGCCCACAACATTAAATTGCAAGGCAAACTGAGAAACGACACAAACACTCTAACTATAACTAGCTCCAAACAACAAGTTTCAAATTGTAACCCTCCCCTTCGCTCTTCTCAAACAGCATTACGTTTTCTGTACTGCGGTGAACGCTTATACATTGCAGTAGCAGCCAGAAATTTAACTGAATATGCTATTAAACAATGAAATTTCAACAACGACCGATAACGCAAATGATACGATACACAGTACAAACAGCTTATGATGTTAATGGAATAGCATATAAGGAATACCAATTTCTGAAACATCGTTCGTAATGAACGCGAGATGTCTGTAGCAGACAAAATGTTACAAAATGCAAGTGGCAATGCAGGTGTTCAAACACCATAGAGCCATGACCTGCCTACATGCCCCTCCCAGGCAACCAGGAGCAAAGAGGCGATGCAATATACCGTGAAATTTGGTCTTGGACGGGTCATTCGCTATTAAACGATATGTTTACGCATATAAATATTTTCATTTCAGTATGTAAATTACATTCTGGCCTATGTTATCACCCGATACAGAGATTCCCTTTGAGGAGACAAACTCTTGGCTTCAGTCGAAACTGGGAAAAGCTTAAAAACTTCAGTCCTAACCGGACGATAAAAAATTTGTGCCGGTTCCCCGATAATTTGATATACAAGACAGATCGCTGTGAAGAAAATGTTTGCCGAGGAGGGAGATATTATTATGGAGCTTGACGGCACTCGTTACGCCTGAAGTGAGAAACTGCCGTGTAAGGACCTGCACATCGGTGAGCAACTTTTTCTGGCACCTGATACGGCAATAACGGCTACTTTTCCGGGCATCGAAATAGGGGACCGCAAAAGGAAGCAATGGCATCACTCAACCATGTCCGAAGAACTGCAACACCGCTTGCCTCATTTCTAGGCGTTTCATTCGTCTGAGAAACAAAAGGGCCCTTGTGAATTTATCTATTTTTATGCCAAAGTACTTCACTCCGAAACTTGCTGCGAAAGCCGTCACAGCTTTGCAGGTGAGCCACCGATTGTTCAACAATTCAAGAGGTACAGACGTTTTCCTTGCTAAATGAAATGTAATGTCGCGTGATTTTTCAGCAACTAGTATTCGTGGCACGCTAATAGACCAGCAGATGACATCTCGTAATTGCGCAAGAAGAGCATTCTCATCGACAGGATCACGTACGGCAGAAAGAAGGAAACTGTCATTCGTGCATCTGAAACATTTAGCGCCTGTTCCGACGCGGCATCCACTGGTGTAGTAGGCGAACAAGTCTGCGATAAAATCGAGCTCTGTGCAAGACCTATTTCTTGCTGCGCTTCCCCGTGGTCTTACGACGATCGATGATGACATATTAACGGAGATTAATTACGATCGAAACGTCATATGGAGCTAAACCTCAACGACTAGCTGCAAACGAACCCGACGTTCCACTCGACGCCAACAACCGCCGAAAATCGCTTCAGCTTTTACCGGGATTCAAGAAGAAACAAAGACGTCGGTCTATCGCCTGATGGGCGACTGCGGCACAGGGCTGTGTACAACTGAACGTTCTTGGGCGGTTCTTTAATAAACTCAAGAATACAAAAAAAGATATATTCATTTGAATAAAAACTACTGATTTAACTGCTGGAAGCAGACTAGCCATCGAGTGAATAGTAATGATGCCCGATTATCAGCTACTTAGTAACAAATACCTGTTCGATCAATAGGGGCTAAAAATTAAACAGACACATGGAAGAACCTCGGAAGCATAAACTTGACCAGTGCAGCTTCGCGCCTGCACCTCAAGCTGTACTTGCAAGAAGATAAAGATTTGACACTACTACTATTTTTCGATATATGAATAGGAATAATGCCAGAAAAAGATGAGAACCTTTTGCGTTGCATAATATGACAGGAACAATTGAACGAACAAATGCCAAAAAACAAACCTCGTTATCATGGGTTCGCTAGCATGACTACACACAATGCTTGTTACGTAACTGCTACGACTCTGCCTTTAAAATCAGACACCCCCCTCCTGGCTAATCGCATAAAAATGGAGATCAAGGCCCTACGATTAACCAGGTAAAACAAGGGCAAGAAATATTCCTATCATGAAAATGTAAGGAAGACGGGCATTCCAACGGTTACAAACAGTCCTTCCTTTCAAGGGTTAGCATATTACTATTACTAGAAAGTAATTATTTTGTGTTCTGGAGAAAGAAAGTACGATGGCATTAATTTCATCATTTCTATACTTCTGTCAACATTAGCGATGGAAAGCAAGAGACCAAGTAGCAGGTACAAGCAAAAACCAGTGCTCAAACCCACGGAAATCCAGAGAGCATCTGGAGCCGATTATACCATCAAATTTTTCTTCAGGTAAATTCTTCAACACATGGAAACAAAATATCGAAAGATCCTAAAAATAGCTCAAGCACCTAAGTGAAAGAAACACAGGCGGAAATAAGGCAATACTTTTATGAGCATTGCAGGAAGTAGTAAACCATGAGAAACTGCAAACAGTCCAAAAATGCTTCTTTTACGATTACAGAAACGCGTGCTACTGGACACGCATTTATCCGATGAAGCCATGTTTACACTTTACCAAGAAAAACCAGACTGAAAAATTGTTATAATCGCCATTTCAGAAAGTAGTATATACCATTTCTTAAACTACAAAAATCGTACCACAAAAATCTCTCACCTGAAACAAACAGGGAATGATTCACTTTTTCAGTGCCTTAGCTGCCCATTTTTCATTGCAAATTACGACTAGTATCGTAGAGGTGAAACGGGCGGTAGATTAGTTCGACGCACTGTCAAGAATGCAAGCTGCTCGAACATGCGTAACATACAAAGAATTACGGTACAAAAAATAGTTAAGTACATATACTGGAAATTTTCAAAACAAATTAATCGTAAATACGCTGCATGATACTACATTCTCGCAAAGGAGGATAATACGCTAGCGTCAGTGCTAATTTAATCCAGTGAAAAATAACGGCATGTAAATCGGTAAATAAACTTTACGTCGTCTTTGACGCTCTCTTTCAATGATTGTGTTTCGGTTTCCGTTCAGCATTTTCAATCTTAAGTGTCCTATTCCTCACGGCAAATGGTCTATTGTCTACGCATTTTGGGTTGTTTGATAATTCTGACAATCGGCTGTGTTTTATTGTTTTGATTTCTAACTGTTTAATGCTTGTTTTCCTTTTCTGGTTTTAGCCGCCATTCTGTTATGCATTTTCTAGCCATCTGCATGTTCACGTTAAGCTGTCACTCGTCTACTATTAATAAATTTGCAATTATTCACGTTGTTTGTCATGTTGCAATCAATTCGACTGTTTATGTTGTACAGTGTGTTATATCACTGATCTGTGCGGGCGGTTGGCAATCTGTTTTGGCTTCCTGACAGATGTACACGCTGCTAGCGCCTAATTATTTGCGTCCGTACTCTTTCCTTGTTTGTATTTCATATAATATCTACATAGTTTCCGCTTGACAACAGCTGTCCGACGATTCTCCCATGATAACCTGTTTGCTCTCCAACGAACCACAACTGCGGAGCATTTTGAGGAAACAGCTAAGCGCTACTTGGCGAATCTTGATATGAAGTATTGATAGCGCCAATTTCGAGGGACGTCTGCCGGCTGGCTTCGAAAACTACGAAACCGGAAAGCATGAAATATCCGTTCGGTACTCATCACGCGTTATCCGGGAGCAACGGTTTTTGTTTTTTGTAAGTTGCTTACTGACATCGAGTTTTGTACTGGATAATTTCGTTCTTGGGTGTTTCTCCTGATCGTGTGGTTTTATTCTGTGTTTTTCTGTTTCATGTTTTATGGATTATTTTTCGTTGCATCTTGGCGTAATTGTCTTCTTCCATTTATGTTTATATCGCAGTTTTTTGCGTTTATATTTTTTGCAAATATTCTTTTATTGATCCAAACGTTGAATGCTGTTAGTGAGTTGTTAAATCAGATTAAAACTGTATTAAACGGTTTATTTGTACACAACGAAAACAAATTAGTCAGATGCGTGACATGCAACGACGTTTCGGATCGTGTCTCACGTGATCAGGATTGATTGTGGCAGTTCTTTCTGTGGTCCACAAATGCTGGTTGGAAACGTCGATACTAACCAGTGCCTGTCTAAGCAGTTTGTTTGCGTTGTGTATAAATGAACAGTTTTTATATATCCTTAAGTTACCAGTGCATTTCATAATTTTTCCGTTCTTATCCTGTCCGGACTTCTTTTCATCAGACTTTCTTACGTGGGACTATTCAACCATTTTTCAAGCATAACCCGATTTTGTCAGAGCCGTTTCTTCGACATTTCATCGCTTTTTTGCGTTGCTCCTACTCACGCCATTATGTTAATTATCGACTATTTTTGCGAACTTGTTACTTGCATTCATCGGAAGTTATATACTTGTGGGCTTTTTTGCGATGTTTTTTATTGATTGCATGATATATCAGTGATAATGATTTATCAGTGTATTTTCACCTGCACTGTTTCAATATTTTCTGCCTTTGGCTAGAATTTTCCAGTTTTTTCATAGCGTTCACATGCACTTCTACATCTGATGCATCGTCT